ATATGCTTTTATTCTCAGTTTTAAGGCCTTCTCCTACCATAGGTATAATATTAAACTGTTACAAATATAGTCGCCGGTTTCTACCGGCGACTAATGAGTTGATGACCTAAATATTCCGAAAATCTATTTATAGAGGGATGTACTCCTATCGGTAATTCCCGGTCTCTCCCGGGATTTACTAGTGACCGGCGAATAGTACTACACGTTTATTGTCCGGTCTCTCCAGACATGTATTTCTGAACAAATCCTAAGTTTTGGAAAGTTCAAAACAGAACACAAGAATGTCGTGCTTTTTGTGTCAGCAAGATAACTTGTGACCTTCGTAAAGGGACACGTGATGGCAAATTTGATTAAATACAAAAATATACGCGTTCCGTTTAAGACATGGTTCATGTGTTGTTTTAATAGACTTGGTACCAACAGAAATTGGAAATCTATGGTAAACTGTAAAGTTAAACATTTCTCATATCTATAAGGAAGACGTGTACTTATGACGTACTTAGTCAGTTATATTATAACATGCTATAAGGGTAACTTTCCAAAACTTAGGATTTGTTCAGAAATACATGTACAGTAATTAGTGTTGGACACCTTATCTTCCCTTCGTTTTATTAAATAAATGCCAAAACAGCACTGTGTTTTATACCTGTCCACGTAATTTGCATAAAGATCTACACATTATGCGAGAGACTCATATTTTGCAAGTAACCTAAAAGTAACAAGTAAAATGATTTCCTGCGGGGAACATTTTTTATTGATTTAAAGATAGTTCGTTTAACTTTTTTCAACATTGTTTGGGGGGGAAAAAACAAAAACAAAAAATAAACGTTTGTATCAGGAATATAGTTGACAATAATTGATCAATAGAAGAAGGTCTTTGGAGACTGATGCCGGTTGAATACCGGAGAAGGTCGAAAATAAGACAATAATTTCTTTTTAAAAAAATGATTGAATACCATTGACCATTGTATGAATAATTCCGTGCAAAAATAAATAAAGTAAACACACAAGTTTATACAGAAAATATCTCTATTCATTATGGCAGATGCCACTACGAAGTTATTGTTTGTAAAATTTTCAAACACTTGATGCAAGTTTTCCACCTTAAACGGTAAAACAATTAAAGAAAATTAGAAATATCACGAAATAGTGTTATGTTCTTAAGGTGTCGGCCCGGTGAATTTTTATATTCTTTGTTCTATAGTAAATCAGTCACATTTGAGGCTTAATTCTGGATTCCACTGTTCTTGATGAATTATATACTGTCTTCAACTTTAAACACCAACACTATCTAAGTCAAATAAGGCCCAAAATATAATAGGTTAGCCATCTACTTTTTTCAGAAATCTTCATTCTGTTGTAACACTGTTTAAATTCACCACTTTAAAAACTCCTGACTGCTTGTGGGTGGTACATCTTTAATCCCTCCGCCAATAAATGAGTTCCTGGAGAATACACAAAAAAACTTTTAAAGTCATCGTATGACACACAAAAACTACACACATGCAATAAATACACTTTAATTAAGACCAATCTAACTAGAGATGACTTAAATTGGGCCACTTCAAAATTTTTAAGAACTACTTTCTACAACGGGTTCGGTCTAATCCGTAACGTACCGGCAAATGGTATTTAGCTAGGTTTCGAAAAGATCAATAAACCAATCATGTACGGTTTACAGATCACATGCTCCTCCCTTTATGTATATAGTAAAAACTTTAAAAAAATCTTTTAAAAAACCCAAGAGCTAGAGCTAAGATATTTAGCATAATGGGTGTCTACCAAGTTTGTTCAAATAAGGGCCCTTAGGTTAAAATTGGCCCACCCCGGGGTCATTGATTTTCCTAATATACATGTATGTGTATAGTAAAAACTTTTTAAAAAATCTTCTTATAAAAAACCCAAAGAGCTAGAGTTAAGATACTAAGCATGAAATATCTTCTAGTGAGTGTCTACCAAGTTTGTTCAAATAAATGCCCTGGGATCAAAATTGGCCCCTCCGAGGGGGTTGGGGGTTCATTGTTTTTCCATATATGTATATAGCAAAAACTTAAAAAGATCTTCATATAAAAATCCCAAAGAGCTAGAGCTTAGATATTTATCATGAAACATCTTCTAATGGGTGTCTACCAAGTTTGTTCAAATAAAAGCCCGTTTAAAGACTGTTTAAAATTGGCCTTGGCCCAGGGGCCTATATACAGGTGAGCGATTTCAGGGCCATCATGGCCCTCTTGTTTCTTGTTATTCACAATATTATTAAACAACATTATACTTTTCAACCACTTTTTAGATTTTGACCCAATTGCTTAAATACAAAGCAATGTTACCAGCATGCAAGAAATATGAAGAAAAAAATCTTTATTTTTTGTGATCTTTATTTTAAATGCAAACTTGTTGCATTATACGAGGGATGTCCGGAAAGTTCATATACTTTTTCATTTTTTATTGTATAACAATACATACGTTGTACAAATTTTGTCAGCAAAAATATACATATCTAGCGAACACATTTATCAAAAATTACTAAATTGTGACTTACGTTTGTATTTTTACAGCATTTACATACAACATACATACATCGTCATGGAGCACTTTGACAACGTCAACGGCGTCAATTTAATTTTATGTTTATCCACTATTCAATTTCTTCCGATTTAAACAGCCATATCTGTCTGGCATATACTTTATACATGTTATGTTCCCTTGCTATTACTTTATGAATTTCATTTACTACATTTAAAAAAAAATAACAACAACAAAGGTGTCACTTGTTCCCATACAGTGTGTGAAATGTCTGTCTTTTTCAAAGATTGTTGTAACGCAATCTACGACATTTCGGCCATGCTACTTTTGGTCATCTGAAACGTTTCTTATACAAAATACTGTCATCACCGCTTCTTAATCGTGTTTGACAATTAAACACAAGTTGCCCTTAACAATTTATGGTTGATTTTGTTTTTCAAGTAAAGATTATAATCATTATTAGCCTTAATATTGCTTTGAAGTTAAATAACATTACGTTGCTCCGTCCTTGAATATGACGTCATTTTTGCGACACAAAACTAACGCAACTTCATTGCCTATAATCGTCGTTAACAAGTTGTTTCTTTGCGTATGACGTCGTTATTTTCACTAAATATCAAGGAATAGTACCCTTTGATGTCACAACATTAAAACAAGAGTTTGCGTTAAAATTACAACTTTTTGCAACTTTTTATTCGAGTAGTTTTTGTCATGAAATCAAAGTGCTCCGTGATTCGTTGATCATGTTGCCATGGTGATTGGCGATTTGCGAATACAACTTTTATCATGTTTTTTAATTTAGAAATTTGTAGCAGAATAAATACTTAAGCAAAATATTTAGTCATCATATTTATATGACTGCTTATAATAATTTTATAGCCTTGTCTACGAACTTTCCGGACATCCCTCGTACTACATAGTTAAATTGTTTTCTAATTAGTTTGTGTTTATAATTATGTCTGCTTTATTATTGCTTTATTCATGAAATTCCACAGAATGTTTACCATTGATTTATTCATTCAATAAAAGTTTAAACTTAAAAAGTCTGAAATCTGGTGTTGTTATATGAATGTTCCAGTATATCATATCCGGAGCAATCGAATGTTGAATGATCCATGGAAACTATTTTAGTGTTATTCCTGAAATTGGCAGCTAGTTTGACATCTTCCTGTAGTGTTTTATTATTGTGCTCTGTTGCATGAAGGAATCAACTATTATTTGGACTATAATCCGTTACAGTGTCAATACAGTACATGTATGAGGATATTAGAAGTCTAAATTTTTTATGTTGATTAAATAACTAAACTCATTTACAATTAATATGTTTGATAAAAAATTCATTAAAGCCATGAATATCAATCGATACAATGGTTTGATAAAATAATAGCATGGAAGTAAATGATATAAAATTGGATCACATGGGTGTTGTGATGAACTTCATGTTTTCTATATATATATTCCTGAAAAGAAAGGGTCAGACAAATTCAACAGAAACATAAAGGTTACATTTTATAATTAAGAAATTCTGGAGTAACAGTTATTTTCCGTACTAACAAAAGCGAATGGTGTAACACAAATTTGATGCAACATGAAAGTTGCTCATAAAATTATTAACAATTTTTTTTTTAAAAAGTGCCGATCAAGACTTCAAGTAACAATTGAATATTTTGTTTTATATATTTTGTATTTTGATATAGGGGAAATTAATGGTAGTGCAATTCCAAAGTTGGAATGATTTATCAATAATTAAGGCATTTCCAAGATATTTTGTTTGTGAAATTACAATAAATGAATTTATATATCTGATTTTAATGTCAATTATTCCATTAATGCTAGCCCAATTCAGGGCCATTTGTGTTAAAGCGGGGTCTTGCAATTCTTATTTGAAAGGCGTCATGAGAGACATGTAGCCCGGGGTTATATGATATCACGGTACTTAACGTTTATCGAAAATATATTCAAATATAAATATCATACACGAATGTGAATGTAAGTGAACCTTTTTCAGAACTGTTTGTCAAAAAAAAAATTCAAAAGAAAAAAATAATACGAAATTTTTTAAAACTATTTCCAATGTCTGCCATTTTTGGTAAATACAGAGGAGGTTACTATGGTATCACGGTAATCCCCATGTAAATTTTTATATGCAAGTATGGGATGATAGATAGGTCAAAATCTTCAAGTTAACTTGTGAAAAACTTCCAACAGTTAATTTGCTATAATATTCAAACGATATGAACAGACGATATGTCCGTATATGTGATTTTAACATATTTTTATAGACTGTGTAAAAACAAATAAGGGAAATAGTAGTCAAATATGAAGATTTTATGAAATAGTTTTCTTCCCTTATTCACAAATATGACAGTAGAGTCTGACCCCGTGAATCATGGGAAATTCTATTGTAGCCTTAAACCATTTGATTGGCGCGGAATACCCGCGGAATACGCTGTTGCATAAGTCATCGAACTTACAAGGTTTTACAAGTTTGCACAATACATGCTTGCTGTAATAAAGGATATGTGAGTTATATTATGCTAATGTCGTGATAAGTAATGAATTTCTTTAAAATTCGTTCTACGATTAATATAGATATTTCTTTCCACGTTTGTCATTTGTATTCGCGACCTTTACGACCAGAAACTTCTCTTACAATTACTATTATTTATATATATCTCTTGGATAAGACAATAATATGATCATAATTGCATTCATTACTCTAATTTTTTTTTAATTTCACTTGTTATTGAGGTTTATTTCAATGTAAGCAACCTCTTTAGCACCATCTTGGATGCCAATTATCGTTTTGTTCATGCACAGATATACAGTATAAACAATGGATAGGAAACTCCGAAAATAGACAAGAGTCTGTTTCAGACCCACAATCCTTTGGGCACTCCGGTGATAATTGGGCTTTCCTGCTAGTCTCCGATTTTCACGCTATCGTTAAACTTCAGCGATATCCGTGAATTATTGCTTACATTGCCAACATTTCGAAAATCAGAGAAATATTTGTGTGGAAAAGTGTGTTTTGTACGTTTTAGAATAAATAACTTTTGCTTCTTATATAAGTAAAAAAATGCTTAGTCTTTTTTGTTGATGTACCTCCGGGAATTCAATATTGCGGTATTTTGGCTACTTTTACCTAGGATGCATCTTGCAAAATCTCGCGACATATGATAACTTGCGGGAACACAATTTTGTCGATACTGATTTTAACGCAAACAGGACGTTTCGGCCCCAAACCAAATCGGCCCCAGTGGAAAAATCGGCCCCTGGATGTTTCGGCCCTTTTCCGCGAGACGTTTCGGTACAGTACTGTATATAGTACACTGTACAGACAACAATTAATTTAATTACAATTAAACAATTATGACACTTTAATTCTTAATTAAATAATTATTTATTATCTTTTGATCTCTTGAACCATTTAGATATACGTTAATGTTTTTAAATGTGTAACAAACAATAAAGGCAGGTTAATCCTTAATTTATAAATCAAACCACTAAAACTTCTTGATTAAGAAAGTTAATTACAATTATTCCTTAGAAAGCATTATTTTTTTTATCTTAATTAAACTACCCAGCAGGCACATCAACGTTGTTTCAACGTTGAATTATGGTCAGATTTCAACGTTGAAATAAGGTTGGATTTATATTCGGATTTGAAAGTTGAAACAACGTTGAAATTTCAACGTTGATACAACGTTGCAGCTTCAACGTTGAAGTTTCAATGTCATTTCAACGTTGAAACCCCACCATACTTTAATTTTTGGATATAAAGCAAAGTAACCAAGTTTAACAAAATATCAAGACAATATTAAATACTTCAGATATCTTATTTCAAAAATACAGTTAAAGTGCAGCTTAAATTCACTTTAATAGTTTTAACAATTAAGCTACAATCTGTTCCAATCTTTTCTTCTAGATCTTTCTGGGTATGTCAAGTGTTTGAGTACTTCTTTGGCTGTCTCTTACTGCTTCTGCAAATAAAAATAAGAAATTTGTAGTTAAAAGTGACTTGGTCAATCTCAAATTATACATATAATTACTCAACTTAGTGATTTGTTTTTATCTTAAAATGCTTTTCTCTAAGATTTACATCATAAAACAGCATAGAAATTGAAACATAGCTAAGTTTGATATTGACAGCAAATACTGTATATAAGACAACAAAATCTTTTTAAAAAGAAGCTATTTAAAAGTCTCACCTATGATTGGTAAGAAAAATTGCTCCCCGTCAGTTCCTTGCAGCATATTCCCAAGAAATTAACATTCTAGGCTCTAGCTAAGACCATTTTATGCAGCATCCTGAAATCAACAAACATGTAAATTTTATATTAATAATGTTACAGGAATATTCCGAAAGAAATATATTTTAAGACAAGATAAATATCCAGTAGTTGAAAAATTTATACTTTGTATTGTAAAGAAATTCAAATATATAAATTAATAAGAATAAATTTCAATTTAACAAACCTGACAGTCCTTTTCATGTTGAATGTATGGTATACAGGCTACAGCTGCAATACTCTAAATTTCAGCCAGGACCAGGATCTAGAATATAAAATAATATATAATAATAAAATAGAAATAGATTTATTATTCCCCTTAAATTTACGACTATTAAACTTTAAAGTTTAACACTCAAATTTGTTATTTAACTTAATAATAATCATTATAATGTTTTTTTTTTCAAACTAATTAACACTGTATTATACTATCAATAAAATATAAACATAGTTATACATGTATATATTGACGAAACATCGCCGAATCGTCTTGGGACGTAAATTAAGTGGGCCGAACTACTTTATAGGTTTCAATTTTAAAATTTCTTAAATTCTAAATAGGATATAGTACAGACAAATGTTTAATAATATGAAAAATAAGTTAAAGAAAGACAAGATTTGTAACATCATAAATTGCCAATGACATCAATAACTTCATGCTTACAAGGCCTACCGAACCCAAATCATTCAATTAGGTCGCGAAAACGTGTCAAATCAACTCAATGATGTGTTTATATCTCTCATTTATTTCACAAAAGAAATTAAAGTAGAATTTTAAGAATAAATAATTATATTTTAGAAAATAATCAGTAAACTAAAGTAAAACATAACGGTAATACCTTCGAAATCCAAATAAATTGCCAATCGTGTTGTTTTCAAATTTTGCCTGATAATTAAATGTGTTGGATTTTTCAATATCAAGGAAATAATTATGAGTAGCTAGTGTTGTCCCGATTGTCTCTGAAAATCGATAACTAATCGGATCACCCCAAAATCGGCAACAATCGATAGTCCTTTTTAACAATCGATTATGTTAATGTTCTACCACCGCTGAATTGCCTAGGGTGTAACTTTTTTACATGCGGTCAAATAGAAGGTTCCTGACCAAATCTCTTTAATTCCAGAGGATCCTGTAGTCCTTTTTGTTTGCCTTATCAAAAATGAAATACAGACAAAACATGGCTAGTGAATAAGTGGGCAATTTGATCGACTTTGTTTCCTGAACATCAAAGCAAATTCATCTTCGCCTGTCACAAAGTAGTATTAGGTATTTGTGTTGTTTGTTTTGAATTCAAAGAGTAAATCTTATTTAATCAAGGAGACAAGAGCTTATTTATTCTCAAAATATGGTCCCTACTGTATAAAAAAATACATACAAGGATTGGTACCATAAAAGAAAAAGGGCCAAAAAAATGCAAACTCGATTATATCTATCGGAAGACAATTGATTGTGGTGATCCGATTATCGATAGTGATTTTTGAGTCCGATACCAAACACTACGAGTAGCTATTTATTGTGATATATTTATAAACATTGAAGTTAACATTAAATGCAACAAGCATCTAATCGTTGATGGTTTTGGTAAAGATTTAATCTTTTATGTAAAATATATAAGAGGTATCGTAAATCTTTCAATGTACTTGGAAATTGGCGTTCCACTTCATAAAAATTGTCATTTTTGATTATTATAACTATGAAATTTTAATATACCGGTTTAAAACACAGTACTTATTCTGGGGCCGATTTGGTAAAAGGCCGAAACGTCTTGGGTAATTTGGGGCCGATATGTCTTGGGGCCGAAACGTCTCGAAATCGATTTTAACTGTGTGACGTCACAGTCTCTACTCCATCTTATATTTAGCTCCATGGTTCATGATCTTCTCGTCATATCATATTGATCAAACCTGTTCTGTGTTATTAAGTAATTAACGTCTACTTGTAGACACCCCATGAACTATGAAGTACACAGTACCATATGTTTAGCTCAATTGATAGAGCCTTGGACCATTTTTGATTCCCAGATGATGCGGTCACTTTTGTTGTGAAAGATCATGAAGTCTGTTCTATGGTTATTCTCACTCGGCATAAATTGGGAACATATCATTTCTTATATTTATAATAAACAAGTCAAAACATTTCAAATTTTCTCAGAATTTGCATCAGTGTAATTTTTTAGGCTATTGTTGGGAATTTTTTATAATGGTGGGGGGGGGGGGGAACCTATTTTACTTTTTAGATTGCAAAATGGAGCCTTGTATTGGCCCCATGTGATGGGATAAAAATGCCCTGCACTTGAAAGTTCCCTGTGCAGTTGTTGATTTATATCTCTCAGACTTTCTAATTTGCATACCTACCAACATGATGGTGGCTAGGAAAAAAGAGGTGCAATGATTTGTTGCGATTTATCGAAAACTGGAATTATGATATGATTCACAACCAGAAATAAGCACAGAAAAAGTACAACTTTTGGTCCATCTCTGACTAGTCTTCCGCTATTATGTTACGTGCAATTGGTTAATTTATCTTGGTTATCCAGTTAGTGAGTATGTTGTGTTGTATTTTTGGTAAGCATATCAAATATTCAAGAAGATAATAATAAATCTAAGAAATTCTTCAGCAACAATTAAATAAAGGGAGTAGTGGTGAAAAATTAAACAAAGCAACATGTAAAATATGTTTTGCAGCGTGTCATGTCCGAAGTTAAGTAAAACTTTTTTGATGCAACACATGAATAAAAAGCTCTGACATTAATGTGTTAAAAAAGTCTATTTTAAGTCTGTAAAAATGTCAGATGTTTAAATTTAAGTCTACTAATCATATAACTGTGATAGTTTGGTTTGAATAGAAGTGTTTTCTAAATACACCAATTTTTATTTACATAAACACTACTACTGGTAATAAAAAGTCAAATAAGTTTAGATAATGGTTATACAACTAAAGAAATGGAAAAAAAACCTATGTCAAGGGCCACTCACTTGTAAGAGCAAACAAGCAGAATTTATAATTGTTAACTGAAGACAAAATAGTATTGAGACATAAAATCAAATTGGGGTGCTCAAAATTGAAATCATATAAAACCGAACATTTGGTGATACATTGCAGCCCTATTTTAGGAAATTGTCCCAAATATTGTCATCCTATTGTACCTCATTGTTGTAGGTACAGGGAAACAGATACAGAAATTGAAAATAAAAAATCTGTAAATTTTTCTGTTTCAATAGCTTATTTTTATAGAAACATGTTGTTTACCATACATTTGTTTTATTCATTTTAGTGTCTGATGAAAAATGAGTACAGTGTGTGAAGTAGGTTTGGAGTCCCCATTTAAACCAGCAATTAATGAAGCTGATACTCCAAGAGAAGAAGCCTGTAGCAAATATGGCTCAGAACAGGATAATTTAGGTATGACTCCATGATAATCTGATTGCTGCTTTACAGTCAACATTTGATATGCACTTGAAGAAAAACTCGACAATCTTCTTAAAAAAGTTCCTTTAATGTTATAAGTGATGTCATTGAGATTCAGTCACTTATCAGATGCTTTGATTTTTGATGACCTTGATTCAAACAGGTTTTGTGTGAAACCTTGTTCATATTATATGTAAGAACTCTGGAAGAGTCTTTATTGTTTTATCATTATTTCAGGGGTTTTTTTTACCCATATTGATGACTAATTTTTTTTTTTATTATTATTTTTTTTTTGTTTTTTTTAAATTCAAGTAAGAATACAGGCATATATTTATTTGTTAAAACTTGAACAGGTACATGTATGTTCCAGTTAAATCAGAATGTCAGTGAATTCCATTCATGAAATGTTATTTACCAAATAACCATGACTGTATTGTGTGATAACAATAGAAGGTGCCATCTAGTGACCCTCATTTACAATTAAACTCACACAATAAAAAACCTTATGATGGTTAATCAGGACTTTGTAGTAAGGAAATACACATGTCTAAAAAATGCATACAGAACCTTGATTTATAAGTCATAACACAGGTTAAGAATACCATTACTACAGCCAGGAACTTTCTCAAACAGAACCAGGTCAGTCATTGAGTGTTGAAGTTGTTTTTCATCTGCTTAACTGTATTTCCTATTTTTAACCATGTAAATTGGATCATCAAGGTGGTCCCCATTCTTATTTGTTCATTGTTCACAATACATACCGCACGGAAAATATATCCGTGATATCAAACAAAAATCTTTGGTAGAGCTCACACTGGGTAGAATTTTAAGGTATTCAAGAAATCTGGGCTCTTTAAAACAACCTTTATTTTAAGAAGTTTGTCCATCTTTTGAACCGTTAATTTCGCTCTGATTTGTGATAGAATGTGTTTAGTGTTTAAAATAATTTTCAAGACTTTCATATTGTCTTGTTTTAGAATCAGTCGACGTGGGGGATGTAGAGTCAGTATGTATGGAGAATGCAGAGTCATTATCAAGCTACCCCAATGATGAAATGATTACAGAGAGCGAGATTAAAGAAGAAACAAAACATGAAAAAGAGGGGGAGGCTGAAGAGGAAGCTGAAATTCAGAAAAGAAAAGAGGTTTGTAACTTGTTAATATAAGTAGTTACGTAGTTTTCAGCTAAGCTGGTTGTAAAGGTCATATGGCACCTTTTCAGGAAGACCTCTCAGTTCATTATTTTATGTACATGCTACATGCAGGCACCCAAGTAAAATTATATATATCAACATTGTTTGCATGCATGATTTGTCTGTTCAATAACAGATACTTTCTCTTGAAATTGATCATATGCATTTGTGTCTGAAGTCCTCACTCATGTTAATTGAAGAGATTGATGAATTGACTATTACCATTTTGTATTGGATTTAGTAAGAAAAGTATGACCTTGATTTTGTTTTAGAATGTGATATTTTTAGACAAGTTGTATCCTAAGATAAAGTATTAAATACAAATTATCTTCAGTTATGCTTTGATATGAATCATTGTAATTAATTAACTTCAGTTATGGTTACATATGGATCATTGTAATTAATTATCTTCAGTTGTGGTTACATATGGATCATTGTAATTAATTATCTTCAGTTGTGGTTACATATGGATCATTGTAATAATTATCTTCAGTTATGGTTACATATGGATCAAAACACGAAGGAAGAGAGATATAAACGTCTTCAGTATCTGTTAATGAAGAGTAATATGTATACAGAATATCTCCTTAGACGTATGGAAAAACAGAGGGAGGAAGAAAAGAAGAGAAAAGAAAGACTTATCAATGTAGGGTTTTTAATTCAGTGTATCTTCAAGGATATAAAAAAATTTAAGAACAGTTTTCCGTAATTAGGGCAAAATTAATTTTCTAGAGAAAAATTTAGACACATATTGTTCTTAAACTTCTTAAACCTTTTTGTTGTAATTAAATAAATGCAAAGTTTCACGATGAAGATTTGGCAAAAAAAATAACTGTTATTCATCACTTTGAAATATTGTCTGTAAAAAGTAATCATAGAATGGTTACTTAAGTTTCATGATAATTGAAGGTTCTGTCTGTACTGCCATACTATTAATCTATTTTGGCAAGTTTGATCAAGAGAGTCAAGGTCCATCACAATGGCTAAAAATAATATTTGCTTTTCCTTACTGAGGAACATCATGGAAGAATTCAAGATATTCGATATTCATTTTTCATAGGTAACGGATAAATATTGTTTTCTGCTTGAAATTTATTTACAACAACATGTACTTTTCCTCATAGTTAATTTGTTAATTTACAGAAACAGGCCAAGGAAGAGGAGAAAAAGAAAGAAGAAAAGGACAAACAAAGCACTGAACCATCACAGGTGTGTGATTATTTATTTTGATATCAGCATCTGTAAGTGTTGATGCAAAAGTTACCTAACAGGGCTTGAGCTAGTTTGAAATTTAAGGGAGAAGTTGGGAGACATATAAGGTGTCATCTTGAGAATTATAAGCTAGGAAACATAACAAACTAGAAAAGAAATAAAGAAACACCTGTCAAATAAAACAATTCTACTATAAATCTACTTTTCATAAATGTATACCAATAGCAAACACAATATTTACATATACTGTATACATGTAGTGAGTCTGTTTAGTTGGTAACATAAACAATATTCAGGGCAGATAGAGCAGTGCCACTTGCCATTGGCAGTGAGTCAGACTGGTCATCTTCTATAATTTTCATTTAGCGATTTGCCCACAAGCCAGGATGTTAGAGACATTTAATTTTGTATAAGCAGCGTGTTAACTTTACGGAGTTCAATGTATTAATAATATCTTCGCATAATTTCTACAGGTTAGTGCTCCGAAAGTTTTGTAACAATCGAGTTTTCGAACATAACCACACCTTTAAGACGTTGGGCATTGTTTATCTTTACTCGCCAAAACACTGCAACAATTATCAACAATTATGTATATGCAGGTGTCTTTAATCAAGCAATCGGCTAAAATAGATTGAATCTGTCCCCATTTTGTGTAATTGTCAACAAATAGCCGCAGTATGTTAGTGTGTCGCCGATTGGTCAATGCAAACTGCTGTAGATAACAACAAGCATTCTGATTCGTCAATTACATGAATACATAATGAGAAAGATATACATAGTGCACTCTTGCCTTGCGCGTGTATTAGACTGTTGATGTTGACACGCATTCTTAACTAGCGGATTAACGGTAAATGGTTGTAATTGAGAAGTAAACAAATTGTTAACAGACCTGGCGTCATAAATAGGTATGACAGATCATTAAAAAATCGGGCGACTTCAAAATCGCTTTAGAGTTTGTTTTAGGCAAAGTCCTTCGCCCTCTAGCTCAAGCCCTGCCTAAGTTTTATCTGTATGGCCTTTGTTAGACAGAATTTGTTATGTAACAAAGTTATTGAATTTGTTAACAGCATTTTAATTGCTCCTGCTACTTGAAGGGCATATTTATTTGTTCATCATGCTGATAGTTGTTAGACTGATAAATCAGTGGAATGTGGGGGTTTATATGTCGTATGGACACATTTCTAGTTTGGGAACTGTTTTAAACTAGTATTTTTGATAGCTAAGAAAAACTGTATTTGTGCATATGATATGTTCATAGGGATTTAATTTGACATGAAAAATTATGCCCCTTTCTTGATTGTCAAGTTTTCAAAGACAAGAGCTTATTTCACTATCAAGTGTTTTGTCAAGAGACTAGTGAAACTTCCACTTCTTTGAGAAAGCAAAATTGTTCATAAAGACATAACATACTAGATGTCAATTAAAATGATATGATTTATTTATGGTTTATAGCGAGTGTTTTATACTACTTTTAGACAACAGACTCTAGAAAAACACGGGGATCATTAAAACTTCGAGCACCAATTCCTAAACGAATGTCAAAAACCAATACTCCAACAACTTCACCAGCAACTGCAGGTGTTGACAGTAATAAAACTCCTGAAGTAGAGGCAGCTAAAGTTGATGATGAAGGAACATGTTCTCAGACTGAAGCAAATACTGAACAAAGTTCTCCTACTGCAGATAAAGAGAATACTTTTACTAAAAAGAAAACTAGAAACAGTCTGAAACCGCCAGATGAAGAAGGTAAAGGATAAAGAAATACATATTGCTTTTTTCTGTGTGCATGTATTCTAATATAGTATTATAAAATTATGAGATTATATGTGCATGTTATATATTTGGACAGGCCTTTGTGATTGATAATAAAGCAGACCAAAAATACTGTAATTTCTATTTGAAATGCATTGAACAAAGTCTATTGTAAGTTGCTTATAGATAAAGAAGAGAGGTATATAAATAACTCATGGGTTTGTAGGTAACAGTAAAAATATCAGCCCGGGGAAAATACTGTTACCCGAGGCGTAGCCGAGGGTAACAGTATTTTTACGAGGGATGATATTTTTACTGTTACACACAAACCCATGTGTTATTTATTTTATTACCCGAACAAATACTGTGATGATCTGAATTTGTAAATATAGCTGTAACAAAAATAAACCAAGAGTAGCAATAACTAAACTGTCCTTACCTTGCAAGTTTTAAGCTGTTAAGTGTACTGTAGGCCTACTTGAGAAGTTGTTTTTCTTTTATTCTTTAAGCAAGTGATGATATCTACCAGTGATAAACATACAATAAGCTGTGTTTTATTTAGAAAACAAAACACTAACTCATTTATAAGGTTATGATCAGTGAAATCTGATCCTTCTGTATCCAGAATATTCTTCGCATGGTTTTGACAAAGTGCATTTACAAAATAACGATGTCCTACAGATGTCTGTCCACCAATTCTATCTGTAAGGTTTCACTGGTTTAAATTTTTTAAATAATCCTTTGTTTCATGCTTAATCGTCTGCATGTTCCAGTTTGACACAAAATTATTCACTTTACAATTACTACCGTTGAAAACGGATGTTTACTTTTTGACTATTCAACAAACAGATATTTTATAAGCAAAAAGAACTCTAGGGTGCAAAGAACTAAATTTTATGAGAGTCATAGTTACTTTGGTGATGCCCTAGGCCCTATCATCGAAAATAAGAATGAATCGAGAGAGAAATGGCGGCCATTTTATTTCATTTTATTTAGAAAATCGACCACTTAACCAGAATTTATACTGTTAAAAAATACTGTTACCTATGTAACAGTACAAAATTCTTAGTCACATGGTACACTTGCATTAACAGTAGGAATAATTCCCAGAGGCCTATGGGAAATTAACATTACGATAAAAGTGAGGGGGTAATAATATGGTTTGTTATGTGTAATTTGATTCTATTGATTCTTTCATGTGAGGAGGTCAAGTTATGACATGTTGTATTTGTACTAATGTGTCTGCATGGGCATTATGAAATAATGATTTGAATGCACCAGAGATTTTACTCCACTGTTAAAGGTTGTATGTTGCCAAATGACATTTTACAAAGTTAGTGTGACTTGAAGCCCGACAAGGGGGGTAAAAAAACAAGATACAAAAGATTTAAAAGTACTGCATTCCTAGAACTTCCATGGGTACAGTATTTCACATTTTGCGTAAGGATAGCAGTTTCACAGAGACAAATACATTTAAACAATATTATGGATCGCGGATATTAAGTCGCTGTGGTAAAGAGCATCTATATTTCTAATATCACAATTACATTTCTGTATTTACTCTCTATACCCACAAGACATTGTAATGCAAACAATATTTACAAAATCTTTAAATTTGAAACTTTGTACACAAGTTATTGGTATAGATATCCAACAAATGGTATAAAAAATCTCCCAAATTAAATATTTCCAGTACTATCATTTAAAAAAAAATCAGTGGAGTCCCTTTAATCTTATTAAGATTTGCTATACACAGATTTTGTGAAAACTTTGAGAGGATATCTAGGAAGTAAACTTATACCAGATGAAACTAACGAGGAAGAATTTGAGGAAGCCTCAGAAGAAGACCCTCTTTGTTAGTCATATGTATAATATTGCCTGTATTCTTTTTGTTGAATTTAAAATGTTACTAAAAGCATCCGAGCATAACTTTTGAGTGAAGATAATGTGATATGGATGGCTCTCAACACAAGTTATATTTCAGTTTGAAATATAACCTAGTTGGTTGTCTGCAATACCTTTCATATATATTTACATAAAACTTATCTAATCTCCAATTAAATAAATATTACTAATAAAAGTAGAAATATCCAACATTCACTTTAAGGCGATTCATGCACTCATGAAATATATGCTGGATAGCTTGTGTTATGCTTTTGTTCTTGTTCTCTGTTTGTTGTTTAATATGTGTTGTTGTTATGTTTATTTTATTATTTTTAAGAACAGATTTACAAAACATGTTTAAAGTTTGCTACTTCGTTTTAAATCTATCAGTGATCCAGAATTGCAATTGTGGGGGAATGTCCATATATTGATTGTACTTGTAGACAAACCTGATTATGAAAGGCCCTTGCAATACACAGGTTAAAATGATCTTGGTTTACCTAGACTTTTATTGGGTAGATTGTAAAACTGCATTACATACATGTAGAGCATAAATATTTGGAATGTTGTTTTATCTAGTGGATCTAAATCATAATGAAGAGGTCAAACATGTATGTTGTGCTGTTTAAAAAAATGGTAATAATAATGATAATAATTTAATGTTGGAATTCAAATAATATTTTAAGATATTATTTGGAAGTTTAAGTTAAATGAAATAAATCTTTTATTTAATCTGTGTAGACTATTAACTCATAATAAAACATATGTATGTATTCATTTTAGATACAGAGTCAAAGAAAGGCAGAAAAAGGAAGAACATGGATTATAATGAACAATCACCACAAGGTGCCAAATTGCTCACAAACATTTTCCAGGTAAGATATAGAAAGTGAATTTGGGATTGAATTGTTAATATTTCATGATAAAAATTGTCACTGGGATAATATGAGGCAATTAATTTCTTATGTACATCTCTAGAAGTATTCTAGTGGTGCTTTAAATTTTTAAATAGCAATCCTTGGGGCTTTCTTGGCTGATTTGACTTCAAATCACTTGCCTCACACCACTAGGTTCGAGCCTCGTAAGCGTCATGGGATTCTTTTATGTGAGAAAGCTATTCAGCTAGCTTTTTACAAAATATTTGTTCTATTCAAGTCCCCATTAGTGCCTGAAATAATGCACAGAAAGGCACCTGAGGCCTTCCTCCAGATTAATACTGTTTTGGTGCCACATAAAATCGAACCAAAGAAAATTATGATCCTTGGGTAAAAATGGCATTCTCCCTGTCCATCAGTATTTCCAAGACATTAAAATCTGTTTTGTCAGAAACCTTTCAGAATTTGACATTTAACATAATATAATGGCCTTTACAAACATATTCAAAGCATGTCCATTTAGACCAACAGCCAAACAGACAGACAAATCTCAACATTTTATATACATTTGATAGATGGCATTGTTTCTTGTGGGTTTCTTTTTGTTTTCTTGTGGGTTTCTTTTTGTACATAATTTTGATTATTCACAGTTCAAGAAGAGAAAAGTGGAAGATGAAGATAAAAGTACAGCAATCAAAATAGTGAGTTGTTTGAATTTCAGTCACAAAATTATTGAATTAATGCTTTTCAGGCTTAAATTGTTAATTAAAAGATAGTGTCTGTCACTGTCTGGGATGTTTTTTATATTTTATGCTTTAAAGTATTAGTATTTAACAAAAGTATTTATACGGTAAAACTTACATATATTTGGCCCTTGTTAAGACCATGATAAGCATATGTATGTGATCATTAATTAAAATGACATTATGCTCATATTTTCATTGTCAAGTTGAGCTGAATTGACTTTATATTTTGAAAGATTGACTCTTTAAATGATGTTTTACCAACAAGATTGTATTGGAAAATGTTTTGGATAAAATTTAAAATCTGCCTAAAATATAAAAATAAGTGCCCCACTCTTTTTATAAATTGAAAGTTACAGGTAAATTCTAAGTGATATTCACTGAAATTTCGTCGAAGCCGGTGGTTATTGTTTGTGCGAAGTAAATGATTAAATCAAAAGGAATGATGGCAAAATGAAAATTTATTTTGACTCTCACCTGCACAGATGGGCATAATTCAAACCACTTGCCCCTCACCTCTGTGGGTTCGAATCCCGACAGGGACTTTGGATTCTTCCATATGAGGAAGCTATCCAGCTAGCTTACGGAACATCAGTGGTTCTAATCAGGTGCCTGAAATAATGCAAGGAAGGGCCTCTGAGGTCTTCCTCAACCAGTAAAGCTGGACAATCGCCATACCT